TGGCCATTGTATTGCACGAAACCCCGGAGCCTGCGTGGTGTCTCAGCAAGCCTTTTCTGTTGGCCACTTTTCTGGGGTGGATGCCTTGCAGCACAAGATGGTTCTAAGGCTTTTTGTAGAGGAGAGAGCATTGGAAATCCTAAGCCAAGAAAGGAACCTGCCTGATGACCATTTTTCTGGCAGGTATCTTAGCCATATTCTATCTATTTAAGGGGGACTACAACAACATATCTTGCATGACCCTAGGTGTTGGTGCTGACGCCGGCGCTTTCAACGTCTGGGCAAATTAGCATAGTAAGATATATCATTAATAGTATAATAAGGTATATCATGGTAAGGGTTGCTCGTAAGACTGAATTTACCCATTGCGGAGCCGTCAAAACTGAGTGTGCTTCCTTCGGAGGTGCTGAAAGGTCCTCACCGATTAAGAGTTGACACGGGCTTGTTATGAAAAGCCGGGAGCAGCTTAGGGTTTAGGGTTTTTAGGGTTAACCCCGTTTGGGCAATAAGAATTATACATAATACCTTTTTTTGGCTTTTGCAGCTCTAGGGTTACTTGACAGTGAGTTTTGCGCATTTAGCTCTTGCAGCTTCCTCTGCCCGATTTCATGTTTAAGCCTTGCCCATGCCAACATGCCTGAGACTCAAATGAGCCAGAATCTACACTCCTTAAAGGGGGGTTGTGTAGGGATTATATAGGGAACTATTCTGGGGGTTATTAAGGGGATACTAGGAGTTTAGACTACAACCCCTAGATAATCCCAATTTCCATTTCATTTTCCATTTTCTTTTCCATTTGATTCTCCATTATTAAGGGGGATACTAGGAGTTTAGACTATGGCTCAGATTATGGCATGGCAGGTCTACACATTCGCAGTTCCCGAAATTAGGGTTTAGGGTTTAGGGTTTAGGGTTCTGCAACTCAAAGGCCTATAAACCCTACAAAAAAGCTTCAAAGTAACCCACATGTAAAAAGTAAGCCTTGGGATTCTAATCGGCAAGGCAGCTTGAGCCTAGGAATTCTGCAGTACTCGTGTGTAGGGTTTAGGGTTTAGGGTTTAGGGTCTAGGGCTACCTGAAAAAGAGTTTCCATGATACAGTTCTCTCTCAATGTGTTTTGCGCTTGGCGCTAGCCTCATCGCGGCTCCTACTGTAACAAAGAAGATGATTAAGCCACACCTACAAAACTCCCAGACCCAAACAATACACCTTGGACACTGAAACCCCCAAGCCACCGGATCTAAACCCTAGACTCTCAGCCCGATGCATCCCCAGCAGTATTCATCTCATGTTGCAACCATAGGAGAAACCATGATTCCCTAAACCCTAAGCCCCAGACCCTTATAAACCCCAAACCTCAAACCTAAATGTGGAGGCCCCAACCCCGTACACCCCATCGCCTGATACCTAAATCCCGCAACCCTAAAGCCTGAACCCTACATCCTACAAACGCTTAGAAGTGTTCGTTCCACAGCGTTTCAAGTATGGCCATGGGGAGTGCGGCCTGTTAATGTGAGGAGGCCCTTATTAGGGTTCAATGGGCCCGTGTAAAGGGAGTACGCAGGGGTGATATGTGGGTACCTTTAAAGGGGGTTCCAGGGTTTAATATAGGGATATATAGAGGGTTTAGAGTTTAGGGTTTCCCAAAAATTGTGGGTACCATGGGGTACCTTTTTGGGGGTCCCTATAAAGTCTTAGAGTATTTTGGGGTTTAGTTTGGGGTTCCCCTTGTTTGGGGAAACTACCGCATAGGGATGTACGTGGGGTCCAGAGACTCTTTGGTTGGGGACGCGGGTTTTCGGGCTGGTGTTTGGAGTTGGGACAGTTAGGCTTGATGCGTTCCAGGCTTCGTTTTTGGGTTTGGGTTTGACTTCAGCTGCAGACCCCCGCGCACTCCTAGTCGCACATGTTCAGAGGTTACGGCCAACGTGCAACGCACCATGATTTTCACCATGAGTGCTTCAATAGTGTAGTCAATGAGGATGATATACGATGATGATAGTGGTGTTATGGTGGTGGTTGTGGTGTTGGGCGTGGTAGTGGTTGTAGTAGCGGCGGCGCCCGCAGTGGCGCTGGTGGCGGCGGCGTCGACGGGGTGTTGGTGATGGTATGGGCTTCAGGTATTTCAGGTGCTTGGTTTCGTAATATAGCGTGGCACTTCTGCACGACGTGTTGTATCCGTTTTCAGAAGTATTGTCACGCCATATACTTCCAACAGAGCGGATCTTCACTAGTTTGCGCCGCCAACAAAGGGCACCCGAAGTTTGATGCATTTACACAAGGAGGAGACAACGATGAGAAGGCCTCGGATCCTGACCCATCGGAGCATAAAAAGCTTATTTCTTGGTAGGGAACAGGCCATTTTATAACCAGGTGATACCGCATAGTTCCCTATGATTAATGTTACGGATAGCTACACGTACCTAGATTTGAGGGGTCTTCTCGCACATGCAGGTGGAACTATGACACCGGAAGAAGCGTAGTATAGCTGTATATAATTGGAGGAAGAACAGCAGTAGCAACAAATACTTAGCTGACGCAGGTGAGACAGGGTAGTTGAGCTGCTGGACTACCCCAATCCCCAGAATAAGTTTCCCGTGACTATCGTTCAACTCTCATGACCTACAGGGTTGACCATACCAAAATGCACTTAGTCCAAGTAGCGAAGACCACCATGATGTGGACCCGCGGCGCTCTGACTCACCTCACACTGACGATGCAGGTTTGTAGGGTTCAGATTCAAGTGATTCGGGTCTGGGCGTTCGGCTCCAAAGAGGTTTAGGGGTTGAGGGTTACAGGGGCGATGTTCATAAGCCAGAGGGTGCGTTTTTGAGTCGAGAAGGACATGATTTGATCCGAGGCGTTTGGGGGGACATGAGGTGGTTCCTTGTGTTGACAGCACCTCTGCGCCTTCATTGCTATTAGCATCTTTTTTCGTGGTCTTGAGCCGGCAGCTAGCAGCCCGGGGATTTTCTCTTGAGGAAAGAGCTGTGGTTGTTGCAGCGGCGCTCAAGTGATTGTGACTAAAGCTCTGGCAATACTGAAAGCCGTATGGTCACCGTGTCATCTGGCAACGCGTGCTCGAGGTGATGGTTGGAGAACGCCATCCACGTGCACCAGACTCAGTGACTCGCATTGTGATTGCGTACGTGTCAATGACCCCATGTTGGGATGCCAATCTATGCAAGCACTTGAAATCCAGCTCTGCAAGGGAAGGTCTCTGCATAACAGACCATGTCCTGCTTGAACCCAGCCATTCGGCTCGCTTACCTTACTTTCCCGTACCGCCGCGCTTGGTTTTTTTTGGCGCCATGGCACGCATGCCTCATGCTTATAGCCCACTTCTGATCTTTATGGTTTCAGGCCTCTTTCTTGCCCTGGCAGAAGAGGCTTGCAACTCTAATGTGCATGTGTCAGCAAGCCAGGCCATGCTCCAAACTCAATCGATGCGGGAGCATGTAGTCCTGGAGGCAAAGGAGTTGAAACTGAGAAATCTTTCGGACTTCAGCAGCTTGAACCAGAGCAACGGCTCGGCCATCATTGCTATGGTGGATGCTACTTGTTGGTGGTTTAATTGAAGAATGGACCCCATCAGACCCATCTGGTCCCTGAATAATCCCTAGCACTAGGGTTGAGGGTATAGGGTTTAGGCGGTTTAGGGATTCCATTAGTCTCTACTACTCACCACTAAGGCTTGTTTACATCCTCGCATGGTGGGCCTCGATGAGAGGCAGCGAGAAATGTGGGAATTGGTTCGCACAGCTGACGCTTTGCCTTCGTAGAAGCATCTCTGGGATTACATAGGGATACAATATATAGGGCGGACATGGGGACTATACTGGGATCATAACACCCTAAACCCTAAACCCTAAACCCTGTAGCTTTCGCAACGAACATTGGAACATTGGCCCAGGAGATCATCGGAAAACTGAAAGCCGCAAACCTGTCGGTCAAAGTTTTGGGCTCCGGCTGGCCAGATGACATGGCAGCCACTGGCTAGACCTGTTTAGGGTTTTAGGATTCTAGGGTTTAGGGTTTAGGGTTTTAGGGTTTTGGGGTTTTGGGGTTTTAGGGTTTAGGGTTTTAGGGTTTCGGGGTTCTAGGGATTTAGAGTTTAGGGTCAACTTCCCCAAAAAACAGCAAACACTTTTTTCGCCACTTTCAGTGGGTTGTTAGATTTTAAGGACAGATGCCCGCGAGGAACGCGAGTCCCGAGGTAGCGGACAGCGAGAGCCACCCCGACAGTAGGCGCCAGCGAGTTCAGATACAAGACGACAACTTAGAGGACAGGAGAAAGACGACAGACAACAAGACGCAAAAAGAGGACAGACAACGCAACAGAAGAAGAGAACAGATCAAAGAAGAGGCAGGAGGACAAACGAAATGAACAGATCAGAGAACAAGGAGGAGAACAGAGAGTAAGACAGATAAGAGGACACCAAATAGTGGCCAGTGGAGGTCCCAGGCCCCCGAAGGCACCGAAATAATCTGAGCGCCCAAAGAGCAGCCATTGGAGGTCCCAGGCCTCCGAGTGCACCGAAATAATCTTGGCGCACGAAAAACGGCCACTGGAGATGTGTAAGCCCGCATATACAACAATGAACACAAGAGCGTGGTGTCCACTTTGCGCCGTGCACACGACACCGCGCGCGGCTGAAACGCCGTAAAACACAACGAAATCTGGTGGTGTCCTGCGCTGCCCTTTTTCGCATTGAGCTCCAGGTCATTCACAGATTTTTCCCAACAGGCAGAGCTTCCCTGTGTAGCATCGTTGCTTGCGTCGAGCTCCAGAGGTTTGAGCTTTCCTTTACTGTCGGGCTGTCGGGGACGCCCTTCATGGTTTCAACGGGGAGTATGACCCTGCATCGCGCACAGAAGCTCCTCCTCCTCAGCCTCCATCGGCAGAAGTGGCCGACATGCAATATCGCTTGGCAGAAACTGCGGGATGACCTCGCTTGTCAACTTCAAGTGGGGAGTGTGTGGCAGGTCCTTGGAACTACGTGCTTCCATCATTCAACATGACGACAAGGTACATCTCTATGGCCGCAAATACTGATTGTGCGCATGGCCTCAATCAATCGTTATTGGTTAAGAACCACCATTGAACAGGTGGCGGGGCGCAGGGCTTGTCCCTGCAACCCATTGTCCGACTTTCCGACGCGCACCACATCCCCTACCACCTGGAACAGCACGAGGATGAGTACATTGTAGGAAGATTTTCGGGTCGAGTTTGTAAACTGCTGAAAGTGGCCACTATTGTTCACCCGGTAGTTCTTCGTCTCTGATACCACCTTCTGCTGCCAACAAATTTACACTTCTTTTTCTCCATGTAACACATCTCGGGGGGACAGTGCTTGCGATGTGCGATTTGGGCAGCTCAAAAAACTTCGGGGGACAGTGCTTGCGATTTGCGATCGGGGCACCTCAACTTATGACACATCTCGGGGAACAGTGCCTGCGATTTGCAATTTGTGTAGCTCATCGTCTGAAAAAACTTCGGGGGACAGTGCTTGCGATGTACGATTTGGGCAGGTCAGTTTATGACAAATCTTATGGGGGCAGTGCTTGCGATTTGCGATTTGGGCAGCTCACTATCTGAAAACAACTTGGGGGGACAGTGCTTGCGATTTGCGATTGGCGCACTTCAGCTTATGACGCATCTCGGGGGGACAGTGCCTGCGATTTGCGATTTGGACAGCTCATTGACGGAGAAAAAAAACTTGGGGGGACAGTGCCTGCGATTTGCGTTCTTCAAACTATGCAAGCCCATCCCTGGACCACGCCCAAATTCCATCTCCTTATTTCAAAAAAAACAAATAATCACATACCACACAGACGTTCCTCGTACATATATTATCATATATGTATATATCTATATGCATACACATATGCGTGCATGTGTATGTGTATGTGTATGTGTATGTGTATGTGTATGTGTATGTGTATGTATGTCTGTGTGTATATTCCTACATATGTAATGAAAAATCGACTGAATTTTGCGGATGCTCCGCACGGGAGCGCATTTTGGATGAAACACCGGTTGATTTTCAAGGATGCCTCGCATGCCAGCGCATTTTTAGCCAGAGTTTTCAAGATGGTCCGCACGCCAGCGCAATCTTCTGCAGAATTTTCGGAATGCTCCGCACGGGAGCGCAATTTTGAACGAAAAATCAACGAAATTTTGAGGATGCTCCGCACGGGAGCGCAGCGCGCCGCGTTCGGTCACGGAATGGTCTAAGAGTCTAGAAGATTACTTTACAAGGAGACCAACTTATTTTTCAAAAGATTTTTGAAGAAAACTCGACGAAATTTTGAGGATGCTCCCGCGAAAGCGCGATTCTTGAGCAATTTGGGGCGCGTCCCGTCCGGTTGCCGGACGGTCTAGAAGATCACTTTAAAGGAGGTGGAGTTATTTTCCTAATTTTTGAAAAAGACGACGAAATTTTAGTGATGCTCCGAACGGGAGCGCGATTTTTGAGCGATTTAGGGCGATTCCCAAATGTTTGCGAGACGGAAGAAGAATCGCAGGGGTCGGCGGGAGACAGCCATTAACAACTAGAATTATGAGATTTCCCTGGCACAGAGTGTCAAGAGACTATTGATTAGCACGCTAGATGCACATTGTAAGCACATTGGTTAAGCACATGGGTTTTGGGGATTGCAGCAGCCAAGCACATTTCTAGTGCATTTTCTGCACATGGTTTAAGCACATGGTTCGGTAGATGGCCAGGTGCACATTTAAAGCACACATTCACATTTTTGCACATAAGCAGGCACCGTGCATTCTTTTGTAAAGGATTAAGAGCATTTCTCTAGTTTTATTGGGCTGGCACTTACAAGGTGGCCTGATTTTCAGAAAAAACAAAACGTGCCAAACATGTGAACAAAAATGTGCCTGCTCCAAAAATGTGAAACATGAATTGAGATGTTCCAGCCAATGCGGTTGCTCTGGAAAATGAGATAAATCTGATCTGGATTGTGACAAAAATGCCACTGCATTGTGATAAACCTTGGACCGCATTAGAAAATGTGCAGAAACTTTGACAAACATGTCGAAATAAATGTAGAAAATGAGGAGGAGCTACAAGAGGAGGATAAGCAAATGACACGCAATGATTGCAACGAATTGTTTTTGCAAGTGCATTGGCTTGTTACCTAGGGGAAAAAAAGAAAGAACAAAAAACACAAAGGTGGAACTACAAGAAGAGGCAAAAACAAATGAGACGCAATGACTGCAATGAATTGTTGTTGCATGCGCGCTGGCTTGTTCTTGAAGGAAAAAAGAGAAAGAACAAGAAACAAACAGGACGAACAAGAAGACGAGGAAAAAACAGATGAGACGCAATGACTGCGATGAAGTGTTTTTGCAGGCGCACTAGCTTGTTACTGAAGGAAAAAAGGGCAAAAACAAACAACAACAAAAAGGAGGAAATACTCGAGGCGGAAAAGCAAATGAGACGCAATGACTGCAATGAATTGTTTTTGCATGCGTGCTGGCTTGTTCTTGAAGGAAAAAAGAGAAAGAACAAGAAACAAACAGGACGAACAAGAGGAGGAAACGACAAATGAGACGCAATGATTGCAATGATTTTTTTTTTTCAGGCGCACTGGCTTGTTACTTGTTACCTACGGACAAACGGGGAAAACACACATAACACAAACGAGGAGGACAAACAAGAGGAGGAAAAACACATTGGACGCAATGACTGCA